AAGTAGATGTGGCCGCAAGATATCCGTCGTAATTGGCGGGTTCTCCTTTTTGATCCCACAACATCAACAATATAGGTGCCAGGTACCGATCCTGGCTCCTATATTGTTCCTCTTACATATTTTCAGACTGCCTTGTTGCATTGTTAAAAAATTTAATGAAATAAGATATAGAGAGTGTTGACAGATATGATACTAACCACAGCCTGTCATTAAGTCCCAGTAAGTCTAATTTAATGTTGTTTTGTCAAAAAAGATTTTATAATCACATAAAGTTAAATCATATAACACAAGAGTGTATTAACCAGCGATTTAGGATTCACAGATAAATTAAAGATTCTAGGTGTAAGGTTTGACGAAAATTTGAGATCCCATAACCATATGAACAGTGTAATACAAAAATTTTATTAAAATTTAAAAACACGTTCTAATGTTTACGTCTCACTTTTGTACATAAATTAAGAGTGACCTCAACGCCATCTGATTCATTTGAAAAACATGTACCTAAAGTGTATCTAACGAAGCTACAAAGTAATCGTAAACAGTGGTTGATTCGTGATCAACGCGTGATCGGTAGCCATGGCGCTCTGTCGGCCTCTTCCTGATTGGCTTGTAGCGACGAGCCTCCAGACAAAGTCGCACGGTTGCCACGCTCGGCGAGTTTTCGCCAGAGTGGTTGATCACATTCGCATGGATCACAAATCAATCTGTTGGTGCAATACGTGCAATAACTGTTGTAAAGGACATTATATAACAATAAATGGCATCACAAAGGTATATTCCAATTTGATCTGCAGCAAATTATGAACGGCATATACGGAGATGCGAAAACAAGCTCAAAAAGGTGAAGAAAATTTTTGTGCAATCTTTATAGTTAAATTTTTCCTAAGAGATAGCATCAGTGAGGGAATTTTTTTCTATTGTCTTATTTTTCACATTAATGCGATGTCGAGGTATGTGGCCCTATCGCAATTGAAAATAAGGTTTCGATAATCCTACCATAAAGTTTCGATGAGTACATCTGAAATAACCTTGAGATATTCTTCAGGGAAATACAAAAATCTCCTTTTGTGTTTTTTGTGCAGATTTATCTATTAAAATCCTATCCGCAATCTATTTTCCGTGCACACACCTTCAACCGAATATATGCCATATATGATATTACCGTTTCCAACTTTCACCAAGGTTAATAGGAACCATAACAGCTCCCTACCCTTCCCCCCTATAAGAATATCGATTTGTAGCCTCACATTTCAAGGTTAGACTTCTTGTAATGTTTCTGTTCAACATTCGGCGATTTCTAACAATTTTCCCAATAAAACATGATCATTGTGACATTAAGCCTGGCAACGCTGCATAGTAGAGGGAACTCTCAGCGTCACGTTGATGGTTCGTCACCACGCACAGGATTGTAATCAGTTACGGATACCCGTTTATGAGCGCGAACGTTTTATGCACGTCTTGACTTGATTTTTCTTGCGGAAATTTAATATTAGTCTAAAATGTCTGACACAGATACAGCTGATGAAGTGGTTGAAATCAGCTTAACGCCACCCAGCAAAAGGGCTAAAAAGCTTCATCTTAGCGCAGGTGAAAAACAAATTATTCTAAATATCTACAAGAACCAGATGCAAGAGAATAGTGGATTGGCTATAGAAAATATCGTATGTAAGGTTGCTGAAATTTCTGGAGTAGGTCGATCAAGTGTTTACAAAATCTTGAAGGAATATAGACAAAATCACTCACTATCTGAGCCAAAAACATATCCAGCGAGAAAAAAAATCATCGAAAAATAGATGACTTTGACAAAAGTGCCATTAGAAGAAAAGTACATCCCTTTTTCTTCAGGAATGAAATACCTACAATAGATAAAATATTGAAGCAAGTGAATGATGATGAGGACCTGCCAAATTTTAAAAGATCTACATTCCATAAGCTGTTGAAAGAACTAGACTTTCGATTTTTGAAAAGAGGAAGGAATAGTTTATTGATAGAAAAGGAGGAAATTGTTATCTGGAGGAGAGAATACCTTAGAAAAATTAGGCAATTCCGCGCCGAAGGAAGAAAAATTTATTATTTAGACGAAACATGGGTGAACGCGGGGCATACGGAGGGAAAGGTTTGGGTAGACAGATCTGTGAGGTCCTCAAGGCAGGCTTTTTAGATGGCCTTTCGACGGGATTGAAAAATCCTGCAGGTAAGTTTTGAAGTATATGAACTTTTTTGGATGCAGATAATTCATTTTCTGATCGAAGCAATGATTTGGAAGCTCCGAACTCAGTTTTGCTATCTCATCCAAGTTTCTGAGTATTTCCTTCACCCAAAAACTAATCTAAGACCCTATCCTACACTAACCTAAAAAGATTAAGTTGCTTAATTTCGTCATTTAGTGCGCTCGCTGAGAAGTAAAATAACTAATTACTTTCAGGCAAGGGAAAACGCCTGATCATTTGCCACATAGGTAGCGTAGATGGATTTGTTCCTGAAGCATTGTGGGCATTTGAATCCAAAAAAACTGGAGACTATCACGAAGAAATGGATGGTAACTCATTTGAAAATTGGTTAAAAAAAATTTTGCCGACACTTGATGATAACGCAATTATTGTGATGGATAATGCCCCGTACCACTCCAGAAAATTGGAAAAAATTCCAACAATGGCCACCAAAAAGGCAGACATTCAACAGTGGCTTGTCTCAAAGAAGATCGACTTCGACCAAACAATGGTCAAAGCTGAGCTGATAAATATAGTCAAGCGACATAAGTATAAATATGATTTAAAAATTGTTGACGAAATGGCCAAAAACCAAAATAAAACGATTCTCAGGCTGCCTCCCTATCACTGCGAACTGAATCCTATCGAGTTGATTTGGGCCGACATCAAGCAATACGTGGCGTCAAATAACAGCACTTTTAAGTTTTCTGACCTTAAAAAACTGTTTGATGTTGCTGTCGATAGAATTACGCCAGCAAAATGGAGAACATGTATTGACCATGTCCAAGAGAAGGTTGAAACCAAAATGTGGGATATGGACAATATCATTGACACCCAAGTTGAACCCCTTATAATTGACATCAACAATTCTGATGATTCAAGCTCCTCGGAATACAGCATATAAATCGATTGATACCACTAAGACTGGCAGTTTAACGGGCTTTTTGGCAAGACAGGTAAGTTCATTATAGACTGCAATCAAAGTGTAAGTTTCTACTTATTAATGTGGAAATTCCAAATTTATAATTACACAAAATTAGGGTCAATTTAGGAGTTCCAAAGCATAATAGTGCCATTTTGACCTTCTTCCTATTTCTCATGTAAATTTTAATAGCAATCAAACTAACAAACTTTATGGAGTCTGTAATAAACTTTTGTACTACTACTACTACGTCTGTAGTTTCTATTTGCTCAAAAAAATTTGCTCTGCATTGTGAATAGAAGGTTGATTTGTAAATATTATTGGGTATATATGTAAGTTAATAATAAAATATGAAAAATTTCAATTGAGATGGTCCACAAGTTTTTTTCGTGTGCGTTTTAGTAATATTTTGCTGAAATGGTGAATACAGAATTTTTTGCACTGATTCCTAATGTCGAAATATGATTAGAAAGGCGTGGTATATTCCTGATAATTTACTATGCTTTTGATAGAATTTACAGCAACACATATCTTGTACGACATTTTTTGATAGATCACTCACAATAGCTTGATACGGCCCTGTAGCGTCTCCTACGGTTAAGTTCTTGATCACGTGCAATACGGGTGTATATGTTTGATTTTACTTTGTTTCTTCGATGGATACAGTTTAGAAGAAACATACATTCCCTAAATCTAAGACGCGGGGATAACTGAAGTCACCTCGTCACCATTCAACACTAGACAAAGATGCTTTTCATATAACGCTGTGAAATTTTATAATCAGGTGAACGATGAGATAAAAAAAATAGGCAATAACATTATTCAGAAAGAATATTAGGCATATGTTACTAGTATAGTAAGACAGGTAGTTTCACCTTTGGATTATGTAAGCCATTTACATTATCCTCGAAATTCCTGCAAGAAAAGACTAGCAGCGACTTCCGCAATGTAGAGAATCCTGGAGTTTATCACTGTCGTCCTAGTGCTCATGCGGCTTCGACGAATGACGGAGTTCTATCAAAGAGCCGTTTCTTTCGGCTAGTAGGCGACCGAGATTATTCCGAATTAAGGGCTAACTTTTGTCCACATGACCCTCTCACTCTGAGCAAGAAAGGTGTTCAGCAGAGGGATGTCCGACTAGTTGATGTCTCTTCTCTAACGGACAGTCTTGAGACCCTTTCGCACTGGTGGACCCTCTCCAATTTAGCTTTCCTACGCCAACAAATATTGCACTTTAGAGCTCTCCTCCATGATGCCACCGCGCGATGAGCTCGCCAGAGATACCCGACTGACTTCGACCACCTGCCCCAACCATGTCGAACTTCGTACATCCCTAAGGTATCAAGTTAGTCGAACAATTTACACGGGGAGACTTTTCTCAGTTCTACTAACCTTAAACAGTTCAAAAATTGGATGAGACCTAATTTATCTAACGAAACCCCAGCATATTGACATACTAGCGAACTAGCGAATAGGCGATAGTGTCGCCTCTCCGTGAGTTCCATTCCTCGATTTTTCAATGAAATGAGTCTAAGCATGATCTGCCCTTATCGCCTAGTGTAGTTTGATTAAACCAGTCAACATATGAACAAGGAGAACAATAAATCTCATTCTTCTAACAAAGTAATGAAGACCTGTTCTGGAGACGGTCAATTACCTCACGCCTGCTTATGATTTTTAACGGATGTTTCTTATGTTCCGCTACTGGTAATTATAAAAATGTTAGCATACTTCGCCGCCATGCAGTTAGAGCAATTATTATGATTTGGTTGACAAACCCTCACCAACGTGATGGTAATGCCAAGGGTATCGTCACTGTTAGTCAAGTAACATGGTTCTTCTAAGTCTGTTGAAATAATCTAATCAAGATGATAAAGATACTGACATGCCTAATATCATTGCAACTGGTACATTCTTTGGAAGATGCGATTGACGTGAATGATATTTTATCGGAGGACCTGATGCCTACGTCCTTGCTAATTTGGGAGAACCCAGAAAAAGCTCGAAAGTTTAAAAATGATAGTGCTAGTGAAGTGACTAAGTTCAAATCTGATGGAAGACTTACAAATGCTATGGAGACTATGGGATTTCACAGGTAAGCTGCATAAGTTGTAGAGGTTTATCATAATTGCTGATATCTGATGTTTTGCTAGTTACTAAAAATCAGCTTGTCTCGAGTCTACCTCGCTCCGATCAATCTATTTCATACATTCTGAACCACAAAGGTCCTTAATGAGTTTCATCTTAAGTTTTTCAATCAGAAATTAATTAGGATTTGGACGGTCATTTTTGAATTTTTTGACATGTCACCTTTTCTCTAAAGAGCGCTGGTAGGGATTGCTCTCCCGCAACAACTGTTTAGGAAGACTGTACTTACTATAAAGGCGCTGAGGCTGCAGTGTGGAGCAGTCAACTAAAGAGCGCTGGAGAAGATTGCTCTCCTTCAGCTGCTCTTGGGAAGAACTTCACTAGGGAGGCCACTGAGGCTGCAGTGGGGACCAATCAACCAAAGACCTTTGGTGACGATTGCCCTCCTTCAGCTACTGTTGAGAAAAGCTTTACTGATGAACGCCCTGAGACTACGAAGGATACCACCGTTGGTGGAAACTGCTCTCCATCAACTACTGTTGAGGAAAGCTCCACTGCTGCAATTCCTTGGTCTATTTCAAGCTAAAACCTAGCAGATACAGTAATGCAGCTTAGAAGATACAAGAAAAGCAACGAGCAAGGACCATTTGAGACTAACCGATGAGGATTTCACAAGAATCTACAGGCGCAGCGGACTGATATAGAACATATACCTACATCAGATGTCATCAATCCAGTCAAGCATCCTATACCTAAATGGTGGCGACAAAAGAAAGCAAAGAATTGGAACATGAAGACGATTCCTGACTGGAAAGCTAACTCAGATGATGAGGAAAGTATCTTATGAAGATTATCAAGTCTGAAAGACTCAGGAAGAGATAGGCTCCAGAAATATTGGCGCACGATCGACTTGCTAAGAGTTACACCACAATCTTGGAGCAGCCAGATACGATGACTTGGTCTTATCAACAGGTATAATCTATTTAATTGTGGGCAAATATGTTAAAACCTGACGATCGCCACCAGACATTAACCTACTTGCGCCACTCGTTTGCTTTCCATTTCGCCACGGCTACACCTAAACCCATACTGCACTGATGATTTGCTAATCAACATGACATATCGCTGTCTGCAGTTGGTCGTCGTCATAGGAGATAAAAAGCAAACATCTCCTTTTGACCCAATAACTTATTTAACCTCTACGTGTGGCGGTCACTTCGATAACCCAGCAAAATACCAAGCAACCACCTGTTTGCTGGCTACTTACAACTCACTAACTGCTATAATTGCTGAGAAGATATATCCACACCTAGAGCGAAATAATTTGCAAGACGAAAAGTGAATCGCCGGTGCCATAAAACCGGGGCAATTCGGCTAAGGATGGATATCCCGACAGAAGTATATGGTCCTCTAGATAAAAAAAACTCACTATTAGGAATAATCTTGGATAGATAACATATGACCTGAGCAAATAATCAATTTTTACTGATTGCTTATAAATTAGTTCTATGGATTGTGCTCGTCAGGAAAGTAATGTTGGACTAAAATCTAATTTCTCTAATACATGGGAGAGCAATATAATTTAATTGTTAAGGATTTCAATTGTCCAAAGACAACAAAAATCAAATCAATAAAAACAAATTATTTTAATTGGTTGTCTTCCGCTAGCTACCTTATCGTTATGTGGGTGTAAAAGTGTGTATACTGAGTTATTTGACTTATACCATACTATGCGTAGACATGATCAGAGGACAAATAAGATATCTATATATCTATCTTCATTCTGCTCTTCTGATGTTAATTATATTGTTGATGTATTTTATGGCAACATTTTCCAAATTTTTGACAGGCACATACCTCTGTATAAGAATTACAGTCGCCGATACCCGCCTTGGTTTCACTCAGCTATTATTAAGAACATTAAACTTAAAGCTAAATTCAGGAAAAATATCAACAGGTCTGCTTTTGTTGATGATCTACAAGAATTCAAACGTTTGCGCCGCTTGATAAAAAACCAGATTAAATCAGCGTATGATCAATATATTGAAAATATCCAGAATTCTTTAACAATTAACACAAATGCTTTTTGGTCATACGTTCACTCCAAAAACAACACATCACGAATCCCAGGGATAATGAAATTTAAAAATAATTCTATAGATCAGCCTCAGGATATAGCAAACGCATTTAGAGTTTTTCAGCAGCGTCTGTGTCACTCACAAGCCCCATAATAATGCCTCACTAAATCATAGTAATTTATTTGACCATTTTCATCCAATTGAGGAACATGAAGTCAGGAAGGCCATTAAATCACTAAAGGATAAGATGACATCTGGTCTAGATGGCATCCCGTCCTTTATAGTCAAAGATTGTGTGGTAGTGTTTGCTGGTGCTCTAACTAGGATTTTTAATATTTGTCTTATAACAAAAAGATTTCCAGATATTTGGAAGATCGCTAAGGTCTGTCCAGTATTTAAGTGTGGGGATGAGTCAAATATTGAGAATTACAGGGCAATCTCTATATTATACATGTTCTCGAAAGTCTTTGAAATAGTCTTGTACAGTCGCATTTACACTGCCGTCCAGCGTCAGCTGTCATTGCATCAACACGGATTTGTCGCTAATCGCTCAACAACCACAAATCTATTTATAATAACGCAGTAGCTATTGATAGTAATGAGCAAGTTGACGTTATTTATACCGACTTTCGGCTTACAATAAAATTAACCACAAAACTTTATTAAATACGTTAGGTGCACTTGGTTCCACAGATGATGCTATGGAGTTGATGAAATCTTACTTATCCGATCGTATACAATTTGTTAGCTATATTGGCTTCCAATCTGAGACCTACTTGGCACCTTCTGGAGTTCCTCAGGGGTCCAATCTGGGACCATTACTGTTTTTAATATTTATTAATGACCTCTGTGACTCAGTTGAATGTGAACGCCTATGCTTTGCTGACGACCTGAAAATTTATTCGCAGATAAATACTCCTGATGATTGTATCAAGCTACAACACCAATTAAATTTTGTGCTGTCTTGGTGCGTAGAAAACAAGTTGGAGCTTAATGTGAGGAAGTGTAAAATAGTCAACTATACCAGGAAAATTAGTGTTTGCGAATATCCGTACTCTATTGATGGGTCTGTGCTAGAAAGATGCTCTGATGTACGTGATTTAGGTATAATCTATGATCAAAAGTTAACTTTTAGTCAGCATATAAATAAAAAAGCATCAGAAGCATTGGCGGCTTATGGTTTCATATTAAGGAATTGCAGGAATTTTCATAACAAACTCTATTAAGCTATTATAATATGCTTATGTTAGATCCAAAGTCGCATATTGTAGTATTATTTGGAGCCCTTACTATGAATGCTATAGCACAGCTATTAAAAGAGTACAACGGAAGTTTATGAAGTTTGTTCTGTTTAGGATTGACGGGACATATCCAGAGAGAGGTACAAGTAATGAGGAACTAAGTAGTCGCTTAGAAATGTTGACTTTGAAAAAACGTAGGTACTGTGCCTCAATAATATTTGGCTACAAAATGATCAACAATTTAATTGATTGCCCCATGATCCTAGAACAGATCAGTTTTGGTACTCCAACGTTTGCATCTCACAATCATAAAATATTCGGGCTTCCTAGAGCTAGGACAAACATTCTTCTCAAGTCACCGTTATATGTAATGTGCTCTAACTTAAACAGAATTGGATGTTACTGTGATATATTTACGACAAATGTTAATTACCTGCTAAAGGCAGCTAAGGCTTATTCGGACCAATAGCTCATGTTACAAATTTATACCTGTGTTGCATTTGTTGTTTTCTTTTCGCTTTTTTTTTTGCTTTTGTATTATGTTTATAAATTGTCCAATAAATGGGAAACTGTTGGACAATAAAGATATTATTATTATTATTCAAACCAAATGCATCCTTTATCTCTCTTTTTCTTCGTAACTACCCTTGCGTCTAAGGCAAATGTGTATGATAGCTCAGAACGAAGATTAGTACTTCCAATGAAATCCATTGCTTCAAGTTTATATATGTTTGACTATAAAAAATTCCTTTCAGGACAATGATGAACCAGTATTTATGTAGAAGTTACATAGCAGACCGCATTGTATCTAACATGACACTGACAAGGATAAAGAGACGAATGGGTCACTCTAGTGGAGAACAAGCAAATTTCACTGATGTCGAAAATAAGGCAGCGTCTCTTATAAAAAACAATCTGATGAATGACGAAGGGTCTTCGGGATACCAGGACTGGCTTTTAAAGTATGAAGTATTATGCCGTATTTGGCTTCGACTGAATTATATGTTTAATGCTATTATTTTACTATTTCTTTAGTATGACCGAATTTTTTTGAATCATCCAATTTTCTAGGGATAATACGTTATTACCAAAACCTGGCTTTGGCACATTACTGTTCTATACTCCTTTATGCTGCCCTTATAAGCTAAGCCCTCTTATTTGGAAGAAAAATGAAAATAGAGACATTTGCTCTAGTGAATAGTGCGCTAAAATGTCGGTAATTTCTTTATATTCTGTTAAATCAGCATATCTGAAGCGGAAATGTGGACAATCAGTTAATCTTAACTCCGAATTTGGAAGTTATTGGAGAAATACTTGTGCCCGACCCAGTACTTGTGATTTACTAAACGGTTTCCTTGTAGTTTAAATTAAATATGGGTATTTTGTCCAAATACGTGGTTAATGCTTAGAAACCGGACCCGCCGCCATTGCAACGCGCTGCACACTTTGGAAAAACAGTACAGTCCAGCATAAGTGAAAAAGTCCGTATCAGATCTATAAACGCGAGTAACCTTTAATTATGAAAAAATATCTATTCGGCATGTTAAAGAAATAGAATCCTACATATTCGTGAAATCCCAAAACCTTTGTTTTCAATGTGAGCGCAGTTATATCATTTGTGTCTTAGTGGGTTTCATTATAGGTTTAGACTAGAAAGCGTTACGATCGTGCAATCATATAAAGATGGTAGGTAAATTAAATATTTGAAAATGGGTAAATTGCCAACTTAGAGCGTTTAGCCCTCAAATACTGCCTAAAATATAGGTTGCATCTTGCTAAGATGTACAAATACATGTACCACATGTGCCTACAAGCATAACTTTATTCTGTAGATTTATTATTTTTTCATAATTATGCTGAGGGTGAAAACGGATTGTTAATTTGTTAAAGCCCTGAGTTTTTCACGTATCAAAAAATAAGTTAAATACGTTACGTAGACGTACATTATTACTTAAAGAATAATAATACAATACATACAAATGTACTTATAAATGTTCTGAAATTTTGTAACCTAAGAATTGTATAGATGCGATCAACCTGAAAATTGAACTATTCTCGAAAGTCCGGTACGGGTATTATGTAAAAAACCTATAAAATGTCATCTTGCAGACTAAGTAGATTTTAGGGTGCGGTATATGGCTATACCAATTTAAAAACAGTCATTCGTAAGTACCGATACAATATACTTATTCGACTAGAAACAAAATTAATAAAATAGGCGAGTCTCCTTCGTCTACTAAAAAAATAGTACAAAGATGCGTATCTCGCCAGCCGGTTATCTAACTTGCTGCCTGATGAAATGAAAAATATCTTCGTTACCAAAATTTAAAGAAGAAATAAAAAAATTCGTACTTGAAAAGGGACAAGAACAAGTTCACAGAATTATAGAAAATAGGTAAATATTACACTTACATTTAGTGTGTCATGTAGATATTTAAAAAAAATCTGTTACCAATTTTATTATATATAATATAAATGTTTGACTTATCTATTATGTTTTTTTTTCTTTATTGATAAAGTTCATTACCGTGTGTTTGTATTTTGTATTTAAAAAAAAGTATAGGTGTTTTAACAAACTAGTACATCGTTGGTTAGGTAATACTCTTATATTTCTGTTTCTTATTTCTCGGTTTTTAAAATGTTAACGCCTTGTATATTCTAATAGCTTTTATCATTATATTTCATAAGTATTCAACGTCATGTAGATAAAAATATGCTAACACGCCAATGATAAGTTGAAAGTGTACGACCTCAATGAGTATAATCCCTCACGCATAAGCATTTGCTTCTTGTGGTGCCGTATATGTTTGTTTGCGGGATATAATTTCTTTCATTTGCTCCTAATTTGTATTAAGAAAAAAAGTTATTCCACGTTTGCTCACTAGGATCGTTGTGAGCGTCCATCTATGGAGGTGAAGCCGAGTCGTCAAGATCGCATCTAGATGGTTTTGTGTACTGGTCTGCATGTGTATAAAATCAGTGATATTTGCTGTGTAAGAAAATCATTACTGAATATGCTGCCAATGAAGTAAATTTATTTGCTGCGTCGGACGGGTTATTTATATGTTGTTCTTTCTGAAGACATGTTATGTTCAAAGTTATAAATTACAATTTTTCAATTTTTTTGTGTTTTCAAAAACTTTGAGGAGAATTACGAGAAATCACCACCGCGCACGCGTTGTGTGTAACACTGTTAGCATGTATATGACTTGTAATTCGACAACGTACAGTGAATATAATCATTACTTATCTCTCTCATTTTTTAAATTCAGCAAATTTGCATATGTAATTTCCAGAATGGGTAAGAAAAAGTGGATGCGCAACTAATTTCCAGCTTTAAATTTCAAGTAAATGTATTTCAAACAAGAATCCAATGGAATTATCATCAACACATATTATTAGCACACAAATCCTCACTATGCACCTAAGCATTGCCATTATCTCCAGTAATGCCATATCTGAAGCAGATTTTACATCAGCCCAGAGCCAAACCATTGATAACTGAAGCCTCATGACTTTTTGGGCAACACGTGCAACTACAAAACCAGTTCACGATGTGTAAATCAGGGAGTGCAAGTTGACATCTTGTAGAAAAACCAAGATAATGTCACAAAAAACAATATGTCAAAAAAATCGACTTAATGTCACTTCTCAAGATACGTAATACCCACTCTGGTCTAGACCGTGGCCCTCCACTCAAAACGATGGGTTCCGCTGTGTTCTACAATGCTAAATAAGAAATCAGAAAAAATCTTGGGAGTCCCTGTTTGGGCAATTTGACGACAGTATTCGTTTTTTAGGTTTTAATATGCCTACTTAATGCGTTTTAGTTACTATTAGAAGTAAATCAAATATTTGATTCCTACCTTTGTTACTGCTTTTACCTTTAAAATAAAACTACTGAAAAATCCATGTGCTATAATAGTTATTTTCATGTAATAAATAACTGAATTTTCTGTGGTAGATGCCGGTATCTAAGAAACAAGACTATTATCCCAAAGAATATTTGCGAAATAGAACTTAAAATATAATACCCTTTGTTATTTTATAACTTTAAAAAAATTGAAAGAATGTTTTAGGTATGCATTAGGGTTTAAGAACCCTTATCAATCAACATGGACATAACTTATTAATAACATTTATGTATGTTGAAGGTAGAAACAAAAAAAAAACAAATGGACATTGTACTGTTTTCCAACACATTCAAATATGGCAGTTCAGCCTATAAGGGCAGTATGAGAGTAGAGAGTAGGGAATAGAGCCAGTCCATCAATTATCTGCAAAAAGGCAATATTCTTGCAGGACAACGACTCTTGAGGATCTGTACAGGCATTACAATCATGCTGACAACCGAGTAGATCAAGATGTGGATGGAAATACTGATAAAGAGGATTTCGATATGGAGTTTAATGGACAAAAAGCCGTACCTGCTGCGACAATGTACAAGTCTGGGACAAATGTTCCCATCAAACATAGAGGGCAGAAAGATGATATGTTTTACGGTGGAGGTAAAAAAGTCTCCTGGGCCATATATAAAGGCCATTTGGAGCATTAGTATCGCTCTTCAATGATGTCAGAATAAAAATGTAAACAGATGCTGTCAAATATACAGAGTTTTGGCAGGTTTAATGGTTTTATCCCTCATACATTAAATCTCAACTCATGATCTTAAATCGTGACATATAAATACTCGGCTATTTTAAAACGAATTTTTCCGACGTTACTATTTTAGTAACGATAATCCGGACCTAAGTTCCAACTTTGCTTGAACCTGTTTTTTACTACACGTCCTCAGATGACTGCAAACTTTAAAAAATGCGATGCTAGAACCTTACTATTTTAACATTTTCAATTCGACTCAAATTGTGTAAAATTGCCCAAATCCAGAAATGCGATTTTTTGTATGGTATTAAAATGTCAAGCGCGAAACTATACTAATGACAATTTCCTTTGGACCAACCTTTTTAATTTTAGCGTTTTCCTCAACATGCCTTCTCTATATGTATCCTGAGAATTAAATGTTAACAGTTCAGTCACTCGAAACTTAGAAATGAGATAACAATCATTGTGGAGATTAGTGGTGCGTATAATTCAAACTCTTATCTGTTGTTATAGCATTAAGGTGACACTGACAAGTCGGGAGCATATTTTGTTGTAATTAACATATTATACGTATACTACCACCTGATTTTAAAGCGCTCTCTGTATTAAAATATGTAGGTAGTGCCCCTGCTGAAGATTATCATCACTCCAGCTCTGGAGGAGGTTCTGCTTATCCCCACAGTGGTCAAGGTGGAGGAGGAGGATATCAACATAGCGGAGGAGGTGGAGGATACCAGCACAGTGGTGGAGGTGGCGGTTACTTTGGAGGACACGCTCCTGATGGTAATGTTGGACACTGAATTAAAAAAATGCAATACTAGATTGGGGATGATCTGCAGACTCAAATGAATGCTCTTCTATACAGGGTTATCCAAATTAAGTGTCCACCATTAGTAACTTTGTTATTAGTGAAAATACAAAGTTGTTTGAATTAGCAAACTAGTAGCATTTTTAACGCTGGTAAAAATGAGAAATAAAAAAAAAACAATTGAGAGTCGTTATTTTGATTTTTTTCAGTAAAATAACATTTTTTTAAATGGAAACCCCTGTATATTATATTTTTTTCTGTTAAAGCATCAAATTTTAAACAAAAAAGTTCATAATGACAAAATAACGACTCTCAATTGTTTTTTTTTATTTCTCATTTTTACCAGCGTTAAAAATGCTACTAGTTTGCTAATTCAAACAACTTTGTATTTTCACTAATAACAAAGTTACTAATGGTGGACACTTAATTTGGATAACCCTGTATAGTATTCTAGTGAATTGAGAAGTAAAAATAGCAGTGGTTAGGTCTACGACAGACAACTCCCAACACCAAGATTCTAGATTGAATATTAGAATGTTTATTTTTTAATCTCCCATATTTATCTGGCCAATGAAACTATATAACTATATATTTAAGTTTTAATCTTTTCATTAATATAGCAAACCCTTCGGTGACAACGGTGACCTTCTTCAGTACATGACCGATTTGAGAATATATTATTTATCTCTTCCAGGTGACACTTTTTTATTTTTATTCTCAGATGCCCATACAGTGTATTACTACAATAGTCTGAAAGGTCGGTAACAAGCCGAGATTACGCAAAGCCATCATACCAAATTTTAAGATCGCACCATGCAAAATCAGCATACACCAAGACCGCTGGGGTAGACATTCCCGCTCCCAAAAAGACAAGCAATCTTATCTGTCTATTTTTCAGTGTATCAGATACGTCATCTTCGTCTATTGTTCCGAGAACTCCATAAGCCCTACAAAAAACGCGAAAACTCATTCAGAACTGTTGTCTAAACACACCGGTTAATTGTTATGCAATCTTTGGCTAAAGTGTTGCAACTGCATTGTTCACGGATCTGAAACGCGAGAAGTAGCATTTCAACGTTTAAAGAAAACCATGTTGTTTGTCCTATTAAAAAACAGAAAAGAAAACAGCTTAGGCTTCAGACGGCGAAGTAAAACATCTTCGCCTTTGAGAGATGTTATGGACCTACTATTGTAGTAACTCACTGTGTACGAATCTGGAAATGAAAAGAAAAAACAAACGAATTGTCACCTGGAAGTCAGATAAATGAAATATTGTCAAAAGTGGCATGTACTAAAGGTCACCGTCGTGCCCGAAACTACATTAGAAAATAATTTTAAATATGTATGTACGGTCTTATTGGCCAGACAAACTAGAGAAATTATCGACATGAAAGTCACAGGATCTCTTTCAGATGTTAGATTTCATTTTTAGTGTATTTAAAAGCTTATGAAGTCTTGTTGTTAATGCCATGATATGGTTTCCTTCAGACGAATCGTGATTATCAGTGATTTATTAATGCTTACAATGGTCAGTCATTGCAGGCTATCCTAACCTTTACATACTAGTGGTTGATATATCGTCTGAATGTGGAGAAGAAGCATAATGTTGTTCTATTATGATTTGCCTAAGCACAAGTACATCTCAGATAGTTTTTCATTCGGTACAGGTCACGGATATATTGAGGCGCCTCCAGTGCATGAACACGAGCACGTTTACGTCCATCATACATATCCATCAAAGTCACATGGTCAACATTCTGGTGGTGGGAAGGAGAAGGAGTTGGCAGATCTTTTTGAGATCGCACTGACTGCTCTGGCCTACTTGTCATTTGGGATGTTTATTGTTCATGTAGTGATGTGCATCAGCGCCATAGTAAGTATTCCAAATTGCATGAATCTTTTGATCACTTAACCCCAAGGACAGAATTAGCTATGTTATTTAAAACATCTTCCCTTCCTGTTGATTACTATGAATCCTCATGATTGTCAATGCGTGTGAAACTTAACCAGGTCACAACACCCAACCTGGGAATAAATACTACGTGTACAATAAAAATAGATTTCCGCTGAGCAGTAAGCAGACTCGGCCTAGCCCCTTCTAGTTGCCGTTCTTGGTCAAGAAATATTTGCTCAGTACTGATGCAGCACCACCTGCATCACCAAACTTTGAATTTGCATCTTTGTATAAAGGATGTCCCAAAAGTCAGGAATCAAATAATTGAGAGATAGAAAAATCATCACCAATCAGAAATACCACATAGTCATATCCGATTATGCACGGTTCTTCAGTTATAGTAATTTTTAAGAACTTGCAGCAAATCGCTACTTTTGAGATTGTACTATTTTTTTCTGAAGTTAACTTCTGTTATTTCTCAATCAGCGTTAATGAAAAGGTGTCATAGCAATCGGCTGGCCCATAATTCGTACTGTCAAACATATTGCGGCATATTCAAGTAGGCTCTCAGAAAAAAGTAGTGGCAGATAAACTGTATGCGGTAAGGAAAATCTTCCAGATATTATGGTCTCCCAGAATACCTTTTAGATAACTAAATATCTTGAAATACCTTCCGCAAAATACAGACAAGTCTGGAATATTCGCATTCCGAATTGAATGAAAAGAACCATCAAGCCTTCAAACTTGAATGAATTCTAGGTCTAAAAAATCCAACAGATAGGTGCTTTGATATAATTTTGGGGGATAAAAGTATAACAGAGACAGTACTGTATTACCTAATCCTATAACCGTAGCTATCGATGCTGGTAGAAAAAAGTCATAATAGATAGCTTCAGAAGAAAACAGTACAGTCTCAATAGTAGCGATTTTGCACAAATTCCTAGAAATAGCGGTAACAGAAGCACAGCTAACAATCAGATAAGGACATTTATATAAAAATATAAGGTCAGTTAACAATCATTGGATACAAAAGATTATATCTTATTTGTGCCTTTACATTAACTATGCTTTAATATTGGTTAGGTACTAATTTTTAATATTTTTTTCTTATTACCCTGGCCGCAGTAGTAGACTCTTCGGTCTCCTGATCAGTCGCCGTGCGCTGTGCGCGTTCGAGTCCCGTCCCAGGAGAAATTTTCTCTTGGCTATGGATGTTGTGATTGCCCGTAGGTGGTAGATGGTCTCTGACTGTCGAACGCGGAGGTACCAGAATGTGTGCATGTTGCATGCACACGTGTTTCCTCGCCAGAGTCCGTGTGGCGTCCCCCCTTTCCCATGTATCTCCCATAGCCCCACGGTACCCAATGGGTGCTTAGGCCTTGGGCCTTCGTGGTAGTTGGAATATATAAAAAAAAAATTGATCAAAGATTTTTGGAACTACCTGTATACTCTATATGACAACATTTACAATATAAGAATATTTTGAGCTCTGTAATACTTCCCTCACTATACCCAATCAACGTTTTTAAGAGGTCAAAAAGCATACAATGACGAAATCCTCGTAATATTTTGGTATTAGTTTTTGTTTTTCTTGCAAACAACACCGATACTCTTGCAGTGTTTGACAGTATTACCTACTATAGCGACAAACTTCGTCAATGTAGGTGGGGCCAATAAACACACCGTTAGGCCGAGATTTAAGAAATGGATGTTTATGGCCTTAAAAATTCCACAAGCTTATGAGACTTGAGCATTTTTGCGATTACAAAGTACAGCATCAACATATAAAATAGTAGTGTAACAAATTGTACGCCACTATTAGTGCTGTGTGTCCGTTTGTAGTACGGCGAAATCCACACACCATTTTAGCAGTGGCATACGATGAGATACGCTCTTCTATTCTATTAGAAACCTATTCTTTTGAGCAATTCTGTGTCCGGTGTTCCCCAATATTTAAACGGCGAGGTAGACACCGTATACGGTACCAACATTAAACTTCTTTGTAGAACAACGTTGCAACAACGACCATGGCAAGCATGATGCCGATGAGTATGAGCCCCACAGCAGCGGCTGCAGGTATGACGGGTAGTACAGGGATGGGTGGTGGGATGACAGGCACAGGTAATGGAGGTGGTACCACTAGCACAGGGAACGGGGGCACCACAGGCACTGACGACGGAGGTGGCACTGGTGGGGGAGCTACTGGAGGTGGAGCAACTGGAGCAGGAGATACAGGGGCAGGAGCGGACACTGATGGTGGAGGTGATACAGAGGGTGGGAGTGACACAAACGGTACGGGTGACACTGCGGCGGAAGGTGATACGGGAGCGGGGGGAGATACTGACAATGGAGATGCTACAGGAGGAGACGAAAATAACAATGGAGGAGATGCAGACACAGGTGGAGGTGCGGATATGAATGGAGGTGACGCAGACGCTGGTATGACTAGTAATGGTGGAGGTATGGATTAGTTTCTTATAGTAGACATATTTGGTTTCACAATTTAATGAGCTTATTGGAAACTCACATCTTGTACCAAAGACCTACGGATATTTTACGACAGTAGCTACGAGACCTCATATAAATGATGCTGCAGCATTACGTCCCGTCCATGTTCTTGCTTCAAGATAGCCTACCAATCACATCGTTTACCACACATTAGTGAATGCGGATGAACCCTTCACGTAAGCGCCAGAAAGTAAGCGTCTTCGTTCGACTAAAAGACTACCTGTATGGTCATCAGAATACCTATTACTCTATTAAGTGCATAAAGCGCTACTTAGCCACCCCACAACAGCGAAAGTAATTTGTGCTCGAATTCCACGTAGGATTGTTTCCACAAATACATCAATTTCAATGTTTCAACATTATAGTTGTGAAACTTATAACAACTAGAAACCCGAGCAGTAGGACTTTCGTGCGCCTATCTCAGATTCGCGGTTAGTTTGTCTGTATAAGAATATTTTAAGGTACCCTCAAGGTCATATGGGCCATTTAGGCTTCTCTTGGCACTGACTTCTACCCAATGGTGAACGAGGACATTTGAAGGTCATAACCATAACTTCTTTTCGCGCCAAAATTTGAATTACGATCTTCTTCCTTGATAGCCATATAGAACTGAATGTGGAAAGCAATAAAAATACATAATAAAATTGATACAGAATTGTCCTGTTCCTTTCTCTTGCATCGACTTCCTCTTCTGGGGCAAATACCTATAAACAAATGCAAAAAAATGCTTTTATGATGGCTGATCATTGGTTTCACTTAAATTTTGATGAAATAATAACAAAGACTTTTAATGTACTCGTCTGTTGAATACTGAATGGCATTCTGTACATAACGAGATGCCTAATATTCCTACCATTATTGACTATAATGTTGTATATACATTTTTCAAAAGTCTACCAAGTGATGAATAAATATATCATTAGCGAATCCAATAACAGTTAATATTTGAACAGGGATGATGATCCTTAACTAAGCAAAATATAGTGGACGAGCAATAAAAATCCATCTATGAGAATAATCACGTTGTTAGTTCTTTCTAATGATGTTTGCCTAATTTAATCTATTGATGTTTCAATAAACGATAAAACCTCCATAGATAAACACAGCGAATACAGGGCTAATGTGTCTTCGGGTAGTCAATGCTGTATATCAGATAAGGTAATAAGTAGTACTATAGTAATCGAATAGGGCTTCACGTTGATATGTCATTCTTGATACATCCAAAGTAATGCAGGTGAGGAAATATATGCTCAACGGAGACTTGGACAAATGGGGTCCGCCCATCAGGTTCCGTTTTCCAACTACTTGTTTCTGGTTTTTATAGAAATGTTGGTATTGCTGACGGTAATAACACAGTTCTGTTGAATTCGATGTTAAAAGTCAGACCAGAAATTCCGAGATCAAAATTCGCTGATGAAATTAACATAGAAACTTGGTAGACAGCATGAACCGAGTTCCTTTCATATCTGGGAATAGGAAAGTCTAATATCATTTATACAGATAAACAGGGCCATTTGCCCAAATAGGCTAAACCTTCAGCATAAAATATTTTCTGTACGTAACTACTGAACCGACTTCAATGAAACTTAATAATGAACGGATGGAGGACCAACATAGAACTAGAGGAGCAGTCGAAAAATAAGGGTCAGACACAATGTTTTTAACTTAACCTTTTACGGCCAGGACAACTTGGAGAATCATTACATAGTTCAATTGTGCTAAATTCGGCTTAAAAGGGTAAAATTGAGCATAGAGTATTTAACAACACACTTTGTTTTTCCGAACATGGCACTTATAGTTGGAGGTGAAACCGTCCATAGTAGACGGAAAAATGTATAATAGGAAAAACCTATTTTTCAAAATTCATGTTTTAACGTCTGTTGACGTGCGTAGCTGACCAAAAATAGTTTCATTTATGCATAACCTTAGACATGCTTTCCGTCCTGACTAGCGTACTTCTAGCTTTCAAGATCACCTTCCACCCTGAGATCTACCTATGTGAGCTATGTAGGGTTTTGGGTAGATCACACTAATAGTAACGTAGCGGGGTCTTGAGTACGGACATGTATATCAGGTCTTTCTATATTTTCATCACTACTTCACGTTAGCCTGGGAAGTCAAATTCGGTGTCAAGTAAAATCAAACTTTATGCCGATTTGCTTTCAAACTGTACTTATGTTGGTGGATTATTCAAAAAAGTAACGAAATAAGTAATTGTGGTAGACAGTATTAAGTTTTTTCAGAAAAAAGGGTTGTTAATATAAGAACCTAACAGAACACAAAGGAATTCCAACGAAACGAAATCCGGTTCTGAAAGTTTAAGTTATCAAATGAAATTTTGCTCCAATTCTAGGCACCGTTTTGTGAAATTTTGATTGAATCAAGTAGGTATCATTCGAAATGTTATGTTTTGATACACAAAAGTCGACCGAAATGATTTATCTGACTAGATAAATGTTTTGGAAGTAAAAAACCGATAGAGGCGCACTCAATCTATCACCGTATCCGTAAAAACGAAATCATACTACCCACCACTACGTCTATTTCCTACGAAACAGCACCGCACATGCCTCTTGTATAGCTGTCCTGACTGCAGGAGAATATATATTCCCTGAAATCATTCGATATTTTTTTCAATAGTTATTGCTTTGTTTGTGAATAACGGCAACAATTACATATATGATCTGTCTAAATATCGAGACAACTCGGTAACTCTCAGCAAGAGAGCCGATCCATTACTGACCCATTAAACATGCACTTGCACAGATGAATCCTAGACATTTTTGTATCTCTCTCCACATCAGTAATGCTCCTCATGTACTTTAAATTACACCAAGCTAACGCATCCAATACTTGTAATTTGTAATATACAGACACAGGGAATGGAAATGGAGATGCAGGTGACGCTACAAGTGACACTGGTGACACAGGTGATAATGGTGGCACAAATGGAAACGGTGACAATACCACAGGAGGTGCAGCCCCAGGTATACAACACATAAAATAAAAAATCACAAAGTACAGTAGAAATAGTCTTTCCACTTTTCTTCATTCCAACTGGTTCTCAAGGAGTAAGAACTTATAGGTTATTGGATAATAGGACATATGATTCTAATATGCGGATATAATGAACCGACCTAAATTTCACATTTCATCTTCATAACGAATTCTGTTGGTAAAACAACATTTTGGGAATGATGAAGTTTGTAAGTAGGAGTATCTTTCACGGCTATATTAGCTGTTGAGAATGCTACAGCTGGTAGCAATGTAATAGCTATATTCTTTATGTTTATATTTACTCGCATATTCAAGGAAATCGTCTTTTTCACGATTTGCAAAACTGGTTTATTCTAAAGATGATCCGGGGACCGGTGATGGAACAACAGGTGGCACGGCTGGCGGAACTGCTGTAGATGACCCAATTGCCGATGACGCAGGTGGCGCTGATGACGAAGTAACTGATATGTTTCAATTCCGATTGAAGAGGGACATTCCGACGTTAGTCAATGCTAACAACTATTATATAAACGAACTAGCTAGAAGAGTCTTGATAGCTATAGAAACCGCAATGATAGCGAACGATGACCAAGGTGCTTGCTTGAAGAAGAACCTATGTGAGACCAACAAGTGGTCCAGAAGCTTGGAGGGAAGGCAAAAGATTATTATGCCAGTATTCAGGTGAGCAAAATGTAAATTATCTATGGTTTTGACACATTTTGTCTCTAACCTGTAGAAATCTCAAAGATAGAGGCAAAAATATGTTGTTAAGAAAATTAGTACAGCTGTTCTACTACTAATGAAGTGTAATTATATAAGATACTTTCTTGTGCTATATATCTTACTTGATATACAAGGTCTGTAAATCAAGTGATAATACTGTTTCTTTTTGTATTTTTTTATCTAAATATAACTGCAATTTCATATTGTTACCCTCAAAATAAATTCCTTCTGAAACCACACAGCACTGAAGACGGTATTTTCACTAATCATAGCAGTGATGGAACTCCAATACTGGAATAACCTTCAACTGGTCGGCTTAAGCCATTTGAGTGTGTTCGAATGTCCCTTTTGAGGCGATTTTTCAGCTTTGGGCAAAGACAAAAATGACAGGGACTCAATTCAGGCGAGAAACCAGGCTGAAGAGCCACAAGAATGATTATACTAGCTAAAAACTCGTTTATTGACATTGCTGTGCTACAACGAGCATTATCGTGAGGCAACATCATTCTGACTGACAAGCGACGATCTGAATGCACAAGATCCCAGATTTCTGAAAACGCCTTAAACCACCAGATAACAGGAGTTCTTGACAAAACACTACCTATTTAGCAAGAGCTTCTATTGAACCGTACCCAAGTCTGCAGCAAAACCTGATAGAAATGGTTGCATGAAACTGATGTCACTCATTTTTATAACAGAAGAGAAGAGAAACTTTCACAAAAAAAATCGCTGCTGTCAACCAAATGACTGAACTTATACTGAAGGCGGATCACATGTTTCCCATTTCTCCCCTCCAAGCTCGGCACTTCCATTGTTGTCAGTACGTTGCCAGTCTCGTCACTTAATTTACAGACCTCGTATGACTCACAATGAAAAAGCTCTAATAACGTTTCTTCCATATATTATTAGAGACTTTTAGCATATACAGGTATCGTATAAGTAAACGTTAACATTATTCTGACACTTAGGCCAATTTGTGTACAGCCCTTAGGTTACTAAACGAATCTTGACAGATGTAAGACAGCTCCGCTTCATAAAAATTCTATTGCAAACAGCCGCCTGATGCGTATTCTTCTGGAACTAGGTTATACATACACAGAGATTCACATGTGACATATGTCGAAATAGGTTCACGTTTACTTATGCGGTATTTGCGATTGTAAAACTCTCCAATAACATCCATCTTATCAAAGGTGGAGCTAAATGATCCACTGCTTCCAAACATTTTTTTCCATCCCAGATCGATGGCTATACTTTGCCTTTGCATCAATGCCAGAAAAAAACATCTGGTAGCATGAGGTCTGGAAATATCCAGTTGTTATGACAACCGCAATCAATAGAATGTCATGGAAATGTTTTTTTTGTCTGCTGCCATATTTCTTGAGATTTGTTTATTTCATGTGGAGATGTTGCTGATCAGTTTCCTCACTGTATTAGTTTTAACTACTGATCTCATTGCAATCGCAAATATACCAGTTGTTCTTTAATGAACAGGGTGCCTGCGAAACGTTGGGAAACGTTGAAATTGGAAATACTACAGACCAAAATATGGGAATTAACATAAACATACCTTAGTCCAAAAGTTGATAGCTTGCGAGATACAGTGTGTTAAAGTTACAATTTTATCTTATATTTTTCCTTATTGCTTGAGAAATGTTTCAGATTTTTGCATACAACTTGGTATAGGGATGTATGAGAAACAAGAATCCGTTATTTTTTATGGCCAAACGTCTAGAGGGCACCACTTACAGCACTATTTCGGAAAATAACTCATCATAACTTTTTTGTGCTTCCCGATATACAACAACTGACTCAAAAATCTTATTTTCTCGTATTTCCACAACAAAAAAGGTTTACTTGTTAGAACTGTCTAAAGCTAAATAAAAGTTCCAATGCATTATCTGTATCATAATGATAAAACATTTTTATAACATAATAATCAAGTTGCGTTGGACAATATCTGAGTAGCAACAAAACTAATAAGCGGACATAATAATTACAAAAATTGTTCAAAATGAGCACCACCTTGCTTAACACACTCTCGACTTCGACGAACTAATCCTTGCTGCACTCTCCACATCATTTGGATGTTATTTTTAACTTCCTGGTTATGGTGGAAAATTCTCTGTCGAAGATCACCTACAGTTTCCACTGGCGAATTGTAAACGCGTCGTTTCAAATCACCCCAGGAGAAGAAATCCATAGGATTTAAATCTGGTGATCTAGCTGGCCACGATACAGGTCCTGATCGGCCTATTCACTGGTCTGGATAAACTCTATTTAGATGCTCTCTAACTAATTTACCAAAATGAGGTGGAGCGCCGTTGTGCATAGAGCACATATTCATGCGTGTTTGTTACGGAAGATCTTCCAGCAGAGTATGTAATTGTTCTTCAAGAAATTGTACAAACATTTGGCCATTTAGTCTAGGTGGTAACTCAACAGGTCCTACTAAATATTGCATGAGCATTTTCGTCTGCATAAATTTGAAGATTATGCGAGTTAATCCTGCTTCGTCGGAAAATAATATTAACAAAGTAAAACCATTGTCGTGCTTAAACTTCCTCAAGAGCCATATACAAAATTCTACCCTTGCGAGGTCATCATCCGCGCTTGAACCATGTACCTTTTGCAGGTGGTATGGATGGAGCAGTTGCTCTTGAAAAATGGCATTTACTGTAGGTACATTTGGGAACTATCTAGCTACACTCCTAGCCTCAACTGTAGGATTTTCTTTAACTTCAGCTGTACGTACAGTTCTGGGAGCTCCACTATGTTGGCCCATATTTTGAGCAAAACTACCTAAAATCCAAATGGTTCTTGCTAGTCAAAATAAGACTATAATCAATTCTTACCAGTTTCTCGTAACCGGTGATCGATTTGTTGAAAAGTCTTTGAATTAGGTGTCTATTAGGGAATCTATCAGCGTACAATTTTCGTGCTTTTAAAACATTAAATCTTGCCAATCCGTATATTAAATGCCTATCAGAATATCCATCAAACGTATACTCCATCATGTTTAACAACTTATTGTCAGCTTAAAATTATTCATGAACTTCAAAGCAATATTATGACAAACATTAGAAACCATAGCAACGCTAGTCAGATATTATCCAAAGCAACTTGATTATTATGTTATAAAAATGTTTATCATCATGGTACAAATAATGCATTGGAACTTTTAAAAACAAATATCTCGAAAACTGTTAGCTTTAGACACTTTTAACAATTAGACCTTTTTTGTTGTCGAAATACGAGAAAATGAGATTTTTCGGTGCACAAAAAAATTTATGATTAGTTACTTACCGGAATGGTGCTGTAAGTAGCGCCCTCTAGAGGTCTGGCCATAAAAAATAATAGATTCTTGTTTCTCACACTAGAAAGCTTCCCTGTACCAAGTTTCATGCAAAAATCTGGAATACTCCTCAAGCAATAACGAAAAATAGAAAATAAAATTGTAACTTTGACACCCTGTATCTCGCAAACTATCAACTTTTGGTCAATTCACATATTTTGGTCTGTAGTATCTAGTTTCGAGATTCCCATCTTTCCGCAGTCACCCTGTACAGTATTTGTTTGTACGAGTACTTCTCCTTGGAACAAAAGGCTATGGGATGGGTGTAAAGCATTTTTTTACTTTTTGCTCTAAGCACAAAAACTTTGTTTGTGTTTCATCATTTTCATCAATTTTCTTTCGAGTGTTAAATAGCTATTAACAATCTCAAAAGACATTTGGATTAACTTTTGCCCAACAACGCTGCATTACGTTTTAAACAATTCCAGCCTAGGTTTGAGTTGGATCTCAGGTCGCCTAATCAAGACTGTATCATCGGCAACATCTAGACTGGATGCATTGAAAGCTGCGGTGTTGGGTCTTGGCAAAGCCAACTGTGAAATAATTTATCAAGAATGCGATCTGCGGCGAGAGGTATTCAAAAGAAGGCTGCGGAGACGCAGAAGACAGACAAAATAAGAAAATGATATTTGTATTTATTAGTATAGATTAAATTATGTGTTACAGATTATGTATCTGCAGTTTTTTCCTATATGTTAATACCTCCTTGTGTCACTCCGCTACTCCAACCCATGAAGACTAGAAATAGGAGTTTAAACTGTGTCAGGGATACGCGTATTGTTATGAAACCAATACTGTCGCCAACGTTGGAGTGGCTCACGGAAATAATTCAAAAATGCCATCATAATCTGCCGCAGTCTTCACGTGCTTTCAACTACTGCAAGCCAATAACGAGATATTATCACGTACAGCGCGAGAACCTGATTCGCAAGGTTTTTCATTTCACTCAGTTTTTTTCATGCTTTGTAGGCTTATTACTTCGTGGTTTATTAATATTATGCAATATTTCTGCTTGCAACTCGTTCGAGCTGTCAGATCTGGAGTTGTTTACAGTCATGATTGCAGCAACAGAGAGAGATGCAACATGCGCAGAACCTGAACTTAATTTTCTGCGCAATGCACATGCGACATAGATGCCCTTTGCGCAGCACCTGAAATTCATTTCCTGGGCAGTGTACCAACTTACTTCATTGCCGACATTTTTGGCTTCACCGTCACTCTTTGAGTTCAACCTCCTATAACTATTCCTCGTGCTCTTACCATATTCTATTAATAGCACACATTTAAAAATTACCCGCACTTGGAAGTTTTCGAAACTTAAAGGTACTTAAGATTATCCGATTTTCGCGGTTTAGTGCTTATCGATTTTTTTTTGACCTCTACTGATCTTAAATCGTTATTTTTAAAATTGCTGTGATGCCAAAAAGTAAAGGTCTACCTGAAATATATCAATTCGCAGCAATTGAATATTATATGACTTCCAAATCCAAAATACCTATAAGTATTCCTCAAGAGAGGCAAATTTTATTTATGTTCTCATAATTTCTCAGCACAGAGTTATACTTTCCAAGAAATATTCGATTTTTAATGTTCACAATCAGAACAGGAATGGAAAGGAGGATAGTCTGCTATCACTAACCTGGCGCACTGCTCTGCAAAGCTAAGAATGGTAAAATCTGTAGACCTGGCGTAGTGTTTTGGAAAGAAAAGTCATCTACAGCGTTCGCTCATCGTTTTGGCCAAAGGTAACTGAAAGCATTTCTCCATACGTATGCGCGTATAACTTACTGATTTTGGCTATTTACATGGTAGGGTCTGAACTGTGCTTCATCCTTGCTCCTCTCCAGGATTGTTCGTTGAAGTCCTCATTCGAATTTATAACATGCATCTACTATACCTAATTAATAAAGATGGAGGTTTGGTGGAATTAGCAAAGGTTTTCAGGTAATCAAATTTGCGCGTGATATTAAGACTGACTATCACTAGATGGCTTATGATGGAGTGATTGGTTAATGTGATGAATAAAAGTATACCACACGCTTATAGTTTTACACAAAGGATACAGGTGGTTATTGTTGCGCCATCCTTGTCAATCCATTAGACTTCATTCGTAGATAGTATGATTTAGTGATTGTCATGGATACTGATAAAGATAATGGATTTATAATAACAAATCCAGAGTAACTAGTCAAAGTTACATTATTTTTCGGGGTGTTCAATACAACTTTGTTAACTATTCTTTATCCACCTTAAGACAGCAAAAATACCAATTTTTGCTTTGATAAAAAATATATATCCTTGGTCTCCGCACGTACAGGCGTAAATGACAAAAAGAAATCTAAAATCTAGTTACGCCGTAATTTTACATATCTTTTGTAGTCTCTCACGTCACGAAGTGGTGTAACAATTCGCTGCTTGGAAACTAAATTCTTAAAAAATTGAATAAGTGATAAAATTCCGAAAACAATTTTCACGTAGCGGCTTAAATAGATTTACGCCTCTGCGTTAAAGCTGGTTTTCTGTATTTAAAATTTAAAATCTACCTTATTTTTTTTAAACTAATATGGACAGAATGAGGGAGACTCAGCTCACAGTGCCATCGGTCATCGCATCACGCATGTATGTTATCTCTTTATTCCCTCTTCGTTATATCCTTTAATACGTTTTGCTAGATCTAAACAGCCCTATACTGTCATTCCAATGAATTATATGTAGTGACTTCCTTGATTTCAAATCATTCTCCAAGGAGCGACAAATGTTAGCGGTAGAAGAGGAAATAAAATAAAATTGACGGACATGATGTGAATAATGGTTACACATGGTGAACCTGTGACACTATTTTTTAAATACAGTTATCAAGTCCACCATTATGGTAGGTTAGTATTGAAACAACTAATTAAGTGCAGCCTGAGTGACGTACCGTTAAAACCTTTGAATGAAGGACTTACTAAAATATCTAAGAAAAAATATGAGGATCTTATTCCTTTATGCAAAGGAGAAACTCCAGTTATCCGTATTTCTCAATTGCAACAATTTTATGATTATCTGCCCCATGACGACTAAACAGACAAAGATAGTTCAAAGTTTGAATACTGTCGTTATTTTCATTATGGAATTTGTATTTAAGGTTAAACTTACTCTAGGATTTACTTTTTGTTTGTACTTATAATATTATGTAGAGAATAAAACAATTTTTATTTTTGAAACAGTATTTTCGATACTCTGATACCCATGTCCAGTATTAAATTGTTGGCGTAACAACACAATAAAAGAAACAAGAGTCATCACGAAGTGCCGTTAATGTTCAAAAAATATATTTTTAAATCTCATTTTGCCTTTACAAAATAAACCATCGCACAGCAAAGTTCTACATAATTTTAGTCTAACAAAAAAACAGCAACGTGTAGACTAAAAAATCAGTATGTCATTTTCCATCTTATTTATTGCTGATTTTTGTTTTCTAGTTAGTTACACCGGTACGTGCGGAAACCGACGATATGTTGCATTCATGTTCGGCATGACATTTTCAACCACGAGTAATCTATTCTCAGCTAACAAGGACAAGCTATTTAAATAACATATGCCACCACAAACAAGTCTTCATTGAATAAATAATGTATTCCAAACTCAAACGTAAATGACAGAAATATTCTTCAAAGGAACTTTCGAGACACATAATCCGACCAAGCTGGGAATTACTGAGGCAACATTTTACGGTAACCTATTAATAACAAATAAAGGTAAATTCAAAAGCGGTGTTGTTTGACAATAATCTGTCTTATTGTGTGCACGTCAGTTATTCAGCGTTTGATGATGGTAACGTGTGAGACAATGGGTTTTATGAGGGTTTCATAACACTGCAGGATGTTGGGAGAGAATGAGCAGGGGTGGGAATTTATCCTATTAGGGAACAATGTGGAGCCATTTTGAATCGAGTAGGTGTATATAGTTGGAAATTTAGGGAGCTTACGTTCTGATGTACGCATTCTTATTTGGTTTGACGTAAATGAGGGCAGGTATTCCATAGAGAATAATTACAGGTTTTAGAGAAGCACAATCTACCAGTTATTTTCAGAGATATCGTATGAGCAGTGAAACGAATTTTAAAACGTCAAATATTATCATTATTCGCAAAAAAATGATTAAGGTTTCAATATTAGTCAAGCAGTTTCCTCTTTTAATTTGATTTCCAGTGATCTAACCATGCTATAATGATAGTTGTATGTCAGCTACACACGATTGTAGACTGAATGCAGCTATACAGGGTGACTTCGAAGTTGAGTCATTTATTTTAACAGTGAGTAGATCTGATCAAAAGAAATGTTTTTTCCTTTACCATTTTTCTGGTAAAATTAAAGTAACAAAGTTATAGCCCTTTGGAAGTTTGAATACCGCCCTGTCTCAATAATAACATCATGTGCTCGTGTTTGGTAACAACGGATGTAATCCGCCTTATGGGTTCATCGCATCGGAAACAAAAAAGCGAAAGAATTTGGAACGATGTTTTTACAATTATTTTATTCAGTTCAGTTATACATACAGTCAGTGTCAGTCGGTAACGCGTGTGGATAGTGTCTGTTGCGTGGCTCAAACGAAATAAAAAATGGCACATGTTTATGCAGATCGGTTTGCCAATCGAGTGCAACCAACCCCTCGTGCCTTTGTTAATGTAGTACAACGGGCTCGTGAATCAGGTGACTTAAGACCTCACATATGGACGGCATGCCGGTGCTCCAAGACCTCACGATCAAATACAGGTCCGCACTGAAATACTTGTCGGGAGGATACTTTGTAAAACAAGGTAAACATTTTTTTTTTTATTTTTACACACATATTTTGGTTTATCTTCCTTCTACAATCATTATCTGAAAATTGATGACTCATCTTCAAATCCCCCCCACCCTGTATAACTATAATACCAGATTGGCTATTTTGGTCAAGACTCCTAGATACCATTCAGAAAAACGCACTCCTGCAGGAAAATCATCAGATGGTACAAAAGGGTGCAATCCACCATAATGCAGCGCTTGTCACACTTTAACCTTGGAGACTTCCACTTGACTAGTCACTTCCCCAATGGCTGTTGGAGTATTTGATACTCCTTCCACAATTTGCTCCATTCGGGGCTATCTAGGTCTCGCACTGCGCCCACTTTGATATTCGACCTTTATCCCTAGCTCTTTGCACATGGTACACAAATGTACCCGGCCCTGAATGATAACGTTCGGGAAACCGACCTGCGTACATCCGCGAAGCCTCGGTAGCATTTTGAACACAGAGCAGGAGTTAGGTTCGATTTTGCGATACCTAATACGAGTATCTCGCTTAACTTAAGACTGTGGTGTACATGCTATGAGACAAACACGCTTATTTTGTCAAATTCTATACGTTGTGTAAAGGAAGATCCTAACTTTGCGGACATCCTGTAAATCATCAATCTTAACTAGCGAGCTTTTACGACGCAAACCATCGGCAATGTTTTCAATCAGACGACTGTAGTAGCCAACCCTATGAAGTGCGGTAGTAGTAGACCATTTGTTCTACTGCTGACGATCTCCGAATTTGTGCTGTTCTGCTACCGCGCTGTGGATTTTACGAGGACACATAAAAATTATCAATCTCGCTGAAAACAGTGTGGAGGCACTCGATATCTCGCAGTAAAACTTTTACTACTACGCTCTACGATGGT